CCCTCTTCTCCCCCTCCATCCTTTTGATGATTAACCTTCCTTTGAAAATGGCAGATCAACTGCCCTATAGAAGTGAATGAGATAAAATCTGGGGATTATATGAACCCCGGCGGTGCGGCCGCCACATAACTACTCCTGCCACCCCCAGTGGATGTCCTTTTAGGGATTGGCGGCAAAGCCCTCGTTGGTGGTGGTGCTGGTGGTGGTCCCTCTGCAAGCATGGACATACTCCTGCTCAAGTTCAGGAACTGCGGGCTAACGAGGGAGTCGATTCTCAAATGTTGTGATGATCTCGCAATTGATTTGAGTGGGCGTTGGGAGAGGTATCTCGGGCTTAGTGGCAGTGAGGTTCCTGCTTGGGCGGAGAAGCTCGATCTTCTAGCCCGAGGCTCGAGGGTTTCGGATAGTCTGCTTAGCCCTCCCCCGTATGTGCCCAACGAGGAGGATGATCGAGGTCCCTCGCGGAGATGGGCTGTGAGGTGGGACTGTGAAGAGATGAGACTGCTCTCGTCCTCCATGATGTCTGAACAAGCGGAGGGACGTCGAGGTCGTGGCGGTGGGTTCAGCTTGGACTTTGGTGGGCTGTTCTCGATTGATGGATGTGAGGGCTGGACAGGGGAGTTGAGCTCTTCGTCTGACTTGTCGCTTTCGATCCACAAATGTGATGGTGGAGAGGTCGATAGAGCTTCTGGTGTGCTCGATAATGTGCTCTGGGCGCTGTTCTTCCTTGCGTGGCTCATTGGCGAGGATGCTGGCGAGGGTTGATCAAGAACCAGGGACAGCGGACGGGAGTTGATAGATAAGGCAGACGGAGGTGGCCTTCGCGAGCCAAATCGAGATGGCAATGTTGAGAAAGAACCAGGGGTGAAATCAACCCCTTTTACCGGAAATCGCTTGCTAATGCCTTGGGGAATGCTGAAATTAGACCCTGGGTGCGAGCCAGGCGAAATCGGAGGCACCATTTCAGTCGACCTAGGACGAAGAGTCTGTGCTGTTGAAAGATGCATCTCGAGCACATGGTTCCCTGCCTGAAGCGACTGTCTCCGGTCGTTGATCGCCGCAGCATTGGGCCTCATCTTTGGCAACCAGTGCTCGTCCAGGGGCGGCATGTCCGGTGTCATGGACTCGTGTTCCGCAAAGGTGTCCCGAATAGGAGAGCAAGCAGGCGATGAACCAGCAGATGTGATCATGGTTCGCTGGCCCGATGAGACATAAGAAAACCGATTCGTGCTATCCCTGAGCGCATCCAGTTGCCGCCCGTCATGGGAAATAACACTCGCCGAGGACGTATCGTCAAATGACTGCTCGCGTACATCCTCGTCCGCAGCATCGAGTTGGATATCCGGGTTCAAGGAGCTATGGTCCCAGATCCGTGAAAAGCGCTCTGGGTCTCTGACGACCAACGTCCGCTGACTTGTCTGGCTTTTCAGCTGCGAGTCTTCATCAGCCGTCTTTGGTTTGCCAGTCTCAGACAAAACCTTCCTGCCACCCAGTGCCTCAATTTCACGCCTTAATACTGCAATCCAGGCATCCATTTCCTCAGCACTCTCGAACACCATCAGGAAATGCGGAGAACGGCCCCTCTCTTGCCCCATGAAGGGCAGGCGTGCCAGCAAGGAAGAGCCATGGGAGCTCGGAACACGATCCGACTCGGCTACTGCTGATATTTGTAGGACCCAATGCCGTCCCGGGATGGCATCACTGGCAAATGCCGCCGAGTCCTTCCCCAAGTGAAGGATCTTTTCCGGCAGTCGGTCGTACGATCCCTCACCTGAATACTGAAGCAGGTACCCGGCCGTAACCAAAACAAACATCTTTGTTGTCCACTTGAACTCCCCCCCAAGTCCCGACGTATTCCTCCGATGTCTCCTCTTCGGTTTCTCTGTCTTCTCGCCAATGGCCTCGTCAAACTTCTCAACTACTGGTGTCGCCGGATTTGAGCCGCCTCCAATGGAGAAGCTGGTCTTGATGTTGAGTCGTAGTACCGATTCGGTAGAGGCGGTGCATGCTGGTAGATGGGCGTGTTTGATCGCTTGGGGGTAAGCTTGAAACAATGGCGGTGGGCTCCATGGCACAATCCCTTCTGGCGATGGTTGCCCTCCTGTTGATTTCTCATGTTTGAGATTCTGCCCTGCTTGTGAAGCAAGTGTGCTCTCAGAGCGCTGATGATGAAACTGATAGGGCCAGTTCGTTAGTGAGGCGCGTATCCCGCTACTCCGTTGCGCCTCTCGTGGCGAGGCCGGTGCCGCCGTTACCGATGTGCTCTTGTTCCGGCCGAATATACTCCTCAATCCCAGCCTTGACTCTCTCCGGCGTAGCTTGTCGTCGTCGCGCAGCGGTATCTTTCCCGCCTCCGCATTCCAATCCCCCAGTGGCGGCGGTCGTGACCTCCTCCCTAACGAATTCTGCAACGCTTCAAGCCCGGCTGCAGTAGGTGCCGGATCCCCTTGTTGCCCCGTCATGCCTCTTGTCGTCTACTCAGATCTGGCCAATGGGCTAGAATGCTGCTATGGATCTGGCGCCAGCTTTGTCGTCGAGATGATTGGTGATCGCAATACATGGGAAGATAGACCGCCAGTCGTCGAGTTTTGTAAACAAATCCCTTCCTGGCCGAGTCGCAATCCAAAACAAAACAATGAAAGGAAGGGATAGAATCCTGCAGGTGTCGAACGCGTGAGCCGACAGATGGTCGAGGCTCGAATAAGGAAGGAGGAGCAACAAAATAAGGCAGGGCGCGCGTGTTCCCCAAAGCTCCGAGCTGCAGACGGGACAGGTGGTCCCGAGGTCGCAACGAGAGTGGTCGAACCAGAGATTATCACAACAGCTTTGCCGAATATACGTCAGAGCTCAAACTGTGCCGCGTTCAAGTTTTTGGCCCAATGCACTGGACGGGTTGTATATATTGATGAATGAGATGATATGGAGGTGGAGGGGAGGGGGGGGGAACTGAATAAACGAGGGAAACCCACGGAGGGGAGGGCCCCCGGCGCCTCACAGCCAGGGGCGTGGGAAGAACGTTTTCCTATATAAACGACATGTGGAAATGTGGAATGGATGGACATGACGCCCGGGGGGGGGGTTGACGGGGGGGATGATCGGGGGAAAGCGAAAGCGGGAACACAGACAGCAACAACCGTGCAAGGACTTGGATGGGACTGGATGGGACTGGGGGGGGGGTCGGCAGGGCCTGGTCTCGAGTCACTTGATGCGCCAGCCGTGTTTCCTGTTTTCCTCTTCGCTGGGAAAGCTGGCGCTTGGGGCTCGGCTTCACATCGGACGGGAACCTCATCCAAGTAAGACACAGCCGTGTAACTGTGTCTCGTGCGCTCGATTTTGAGCGCTTTCAGTTGTTTCTGTGGTGGGCTCGTCGGCTGCCGGGAGTGGTGATGTTTGGGCGCCTACCCAATCTACCTAGGTGGTAGCGCAGCGGCGGCAGCGCTATCCCAATTCCCAAAGGATTGGCAAAGACTCCGAGCGAGTCTTATTTTTTATTTTTTATTTGCTTCTTGCTGACCACCACCACCTATCAGCATCTCTGGGACATGCGTCAAGCTGCGTGTGATGAAAGAAGCAAATTGTGAGGTTTCGTTGCTGGAGTCCATCCCTGCTGAAGTCGAGGGCTGGTCGAATTGGAGCCAAACCCGCGAGGGGCCCTCCCATGTCCGTCGTGGTTCTCAATTTAGGGGTGCGCGGTTCCGAACCAAACTCAAAAATCCGCAGGGACCAGGATCCACACGTCTTTTTTCCCAACTGCCCTATGAGAGGCCACAGCACCAACTGTCATCACAAACTGATGAATATATCAGTGGAGTCAGATGACGTTTGTAAGGACAAGCTGAGG